GAAGCTCCCTCATTCCGGCAAGCCTGAGTCTTAGGCTCCCCGTTGTGGAAGTGTAAGAGCATTAAATTGATGGGGGGTAAGGGGGTGGATAGAGAAGTCAGATAACACCCCCGCGCCCGGCTTATTGTCCATCCACTTCCAGGCCGATCAGAAATTTAGCCTTGGCCTTTTTTGTTGTTGTTCTCGGCCAGCTAAGACTGCTTCCCCACCCTGGGGAATGACTTTGATTCCCCATCCGACTCCACCTTCCCTTAGAGGTCCACTTAACCTGTTTCTTCCCCGTGCCATGCCCTGGCTCATCCCAGCTCTTTCCCCTCACTGTCACCTGTGGCTCCATCTGATCATCCCCTGCTTCTTCTTTAGCCCCTAACGTGCTCCCACTGCCACCCGCCTCCCCCTACCTCCTCCTACCCCTTAGCTCAGTCTTCTCACCCAGCCAGCTATCCTGGAAAGTTTCTGCAGGGAAGCCGAGGCAAGCCTGGAGAGAGACTGAAAGGGCAGCGAGGTGGCGGCAGGGAGAGCAGGGACTGAAACCGCGTCTACACCAAAACACAAAGTAAAATATGCAGTCAGCCGTTCACATGATCGAGAGCTGAGTCGGGGACGTGCAGCCCAAACACCACAGAGACCCGCTGCATTTTTCACTTTCCATCCAATGTTCTGAAATCGAAACACCGCCTTGAGGATCAAAGACATTGTAGGAAAGAAAGAAAGGGACAGGGGAAATATACTCAGTGCGAATGTCAACTCTACAAGAAGTATTACTAGAGATGGTGAGAAATTAGAGAACAAAGGAAGCCTGGGAGAGTGGCTGGCAGACTGAGAGACATTAAGGGATCAAGGAGGAGAGAAGAGGGATTGACTAGGTATTGGCCTTGACCTACCTCATTGCCCTTGACTGGCCAGACTCTCAGCATAGGTGTATTTATTACATTCTTACAAATAAGAGGTCTGGTGAAGTTAAGTAATTTGCCCAAGTCACACTGGCAAGTTCATTTGAGGCCTCCTGAAGTTGGAGTTTCCCCCTGGTGAATGGGAGGAGCAAGGGTGGAAGATGGGAGTTCGGCTGTGGTGTTGAGTATCTCGCCGTGGAGCCAAGGGTGCTGGCTCTGGGTGGAAATGTCGTCAGCCCTGTGTAGAACCAAAACTGCTTCGTTCTGTCTGTCAGCCAGCCTAAAGCCCTTCTAGAAGCGGGGGAATGGGGCAAGCACACAGCTTGGGACTGCCCAGGAGAGCTGTGAAGAGAAACAGATGCCAACAAGCAGGACATCTGTGTACCCCCAAGAACTGCAGAGAGGAGGGCTGGGGCTGGAGCCAGGATGGGGACCAGCTATGGGGATGGGAGCAGGCCTGGGGATGAGGCCGGAACAGGGAGGGACAAGGATCGGGCAGAGCCAGGGACTAGCTCATCTGAGAGCCCATTGCAGACACACATACCTTAGCCCTCAGGCTGTGCCTTCCCTGCTGAGATAACATCCGACTCAGCTTGACGCTTCTCAGCCTCCGCTCCTGCTTCCAATCACGGACAGCACAGGACAGCAATTTAAGGACACAACACTAGCTCTGGAATCAGACCCATCTGGGTTCACCCTGACCGGCACTCACTCCATGGGCCTCGGGCAAGTCACCTAACCTTTCCGTAAAACTGGAGTAATAGATGCCTACCCTGGAGGGCTGCTGGGATAATTAACTGACACAACATAGAAAAAGTACTTAGCAGAGTGCTCAGCTCAAAGGACTCAATAAATGGAGGCTGTTAGACGGATGGCCACCGTCAGCATCATTATCCCCGGGAGGCGGGCTCCGCCAGCTCTGATATCCACACTCTTTGCCCCAGGAACAGAACTTCCCAGCCCTCCATCTGTGTGGTTTGAAGCAGAATTTTTCTCCCACATCCTCCACTGGACTCCCATCCCGAATCAGTCAGAAAGCACCTACTATGAAGTGGAGCTTCTGAGGTATGGAAAGGGGAGATGGAGAAAGGAGAGAGGTGGGTGCGGGAGGGGGTGGACCCATCCCCTTGCACTTTCCCGGCACCGGAAGATAAATCGGTCTTGTCCTTGAAGTGACTCCAGGAAGGACCCTGGTGCATATCCATCAGTTGACGAGTACTGATTCGAGTCTCGTGCGTTGAGCAGTGCGCTGGGAGCTCTGGGGTGAAAAGGCCAAGGTGTTGCCTTTACCCTCAAGGTTTTTTCCATCTTACTGGAAAAGCAGGAAGTGCATCCATAATATGGTCGGAAAACAAGTAAAAGCCCAAAGGACTGCAAATGTAGTCGGGAGAAAGGAGAAATGAGGCCGTGTGGCAGCAGGTAGCAAGGCTTCCTGGAGGAAGGGGATGTCCGTTAGATGTTCCAATCTAAGAGAAATTGGTATGCGGTTCCAGAACCAAGAGAGAGATTCTTGCAGTTAGATGCCCTGGGCCAGAGAAAATGCCCTGAGGGCTGGACCATCGTTGAGCTCTCTCCCCGGGCCCCTTGCTTTCCTCTTAAAGGAGGTAGGTTTGAGCACAAATGTCCCTACTGATGCTCTGATCCGGATATCTCCCCAGGTATGGAAGAGACTCCTGGGAGTCCACCCCCAGCTGTAACCAGACCCTGGTGCTGTCCTGTGATCTCACTATTATGACCCTGGACCTGTACCACGACAATAGCTACAAAGCCAGGGTCCGGGCAATGGCTGGAAACCAGTACTCCAACTGGACCAACACCAACACCCGCTTCTCCCTGGATGAAGGTGCTTTTCGAAACTCCCCTGGACCTGGAATATGGCTTTGGGGGTCCCTTCCTGCCAGAAACTCTAGTCTAGAACTCTACTCTGCTCCCATAGCTTGCCATCCAGCCAGGCTTCCTGGCCGGCCACCGTGTTGCCCAAACAACTAGTCAGGACTTTCTGGGAAGATTTAGATGAAAATAGCCAAGTTGTTCAAGATTTAAAAGGGAACTGGAGTTGTTTATCCTACAGAAGAGAAGTCTTGGGGCGAGTTGGAGCAGCTGAGTCACAAGGGCCAGACCTGTGTACTTATAGAGTTCTGGAAGAGGAAGTGAATCCATAAGTTCTCAGCATGGGGCAGCAAACAGTAGGCAGACTTAGATCTAGTCCTCACCTGCTTCAGGCTGAATTCCCAGGGGTCAGGGTGTGAGGCTCTGAGGCAGGGAGATGCTGATGAAGAGTTGGGGGGTCTCTCTTTCTAGAGATAAAAGGGTAAGCCCCAAACTTGATGGGATTCTTCTATTCTGCAAATTGGAACTGACCATATACCCTATGTGTGTGGTGAGCCCACTCTCCAAAATTCAGAGCCAGAACCAACGGTCGTTGAGGTCACTGGCTCCCAAACGCCGGCCCGCAGGCCAGTGTTCAGCTGGCTGCAGAAATATTACCCGGGCAGTGTGTTTAAAATAAATGTTTCCAGGGCCCTTTCAAAACTTCAGATTCACTGTGTCTTGAGTGGGCCTGGGGCATCTATATTTTTAATGTAGCCCCCAGGAAGTCCTGATGTTCTGCTGGGTTGCAAACCAGTGGCCCAGGTTTTAGGGTGGGTAAAGCTGGACTCTAGAGGCCAAGCACGGGTGGGGCACCCAGGCCCTCCCCAGCCCGCCGGCCTCATGATTTTGCCTCCCCACTCAGTGACTCTGATGGTCAGCGTGAAGCTAGAGGTGGACAACGGCATCATCCTCGGGCGGATCCAGCTCCCCAGGCCCAGGATCGCCCCTACAGGCGACACTTACGAAAGCATCTTCCAACACTTCCGAGAGTATGACATTAAGTTGCGCAAGGTGCCAGGGAACTCTACGGTATGGACTTCCCCAGGGCCGCAGCCCCTGGGCTCCCTGGGCCTCCCTGTCACCCCGGGCCGGCAGCACCTTTTGTGCACCTGTGGGGGACTTTGCTGGCAGAGTGGAGGGCGGTCATGGAGTGGGGAAGGGAGTTGAGAAGCCCTCGGTTAAGATGCACCTGCCAGGTGTCAGGGAGGACCCTGCCTGCTAGCACCAGGCACCATGCCACACATCTGATAGCTGTTAGTTCCGACACCCTTGCAGGTGGATATTTTACTCCCTTTGAAAGTGGGGAAATGAGGCTCCGAGAGGCTATGTGATTGCCCATGGACACCCCGTATGTGGGATATCTGGAATCTGCCAGGAAAGAGGATGCTCTTTCCACCATTTGATTCCAGCCCCTTCTAGAAAGGTCCTCAGTGTCCCGTAAAATGTTCCACTTCTCTTTTAGTACGAGATAAATCATGTTAATCACAGAGATCTTGGGCTGCACTGATGATAGCGGGTTTGTGATGTTTGAGAAAGGGCACTGAAGAAAGGTCGGCCTGGAGCACCTCTGACGGCTCCCCAGCTCTCGGCTCCCGCAGCCCATGAGCCAGGGATATTTTGTTTATGGCTGTGTTGTTTTTGTTTCAGTTCATAAAGCAGAAGATAAACCATGAAACCTTCAGCCTCTCACCTCCTGGAGAACTGGGAGAATTCTGTGTCAAGGTGAAGCCATCTGTGGCCTCCCGAGTGAACAGGGGGCTGTGGTCCAAGGAAGAGTGCATTGTGCTTACCCCACGGTGTGAGTCTGCGGCCAGGGCTGCTGTCCGGGTGGGGAGGGAGGCAGGAAGGGCCTCACACAACCCGAAAAGCATCGGCTGAGGGCTGCCGATGCCATGGGCGCTCCTCCCCACAGCCCTGTGGGTGAGCTCCTATTGTCCCCATTTTAGAGACGCGGGAACTGAGGCTCTGTGGGTATAAACAACTTTCTAGGACATGGTGGCAAAGCCAGGCCTCTTGCTTCTGCTGGTGCTTCCACGTGAGCACAGCCGTGCTTCCCAAGAACCCACCACCCCCACCCCAGCCTACCTCCGCCACCTATGGTCTTTCCCGTTTGTTACATTCCTCAGCCGTCCTTCCTTGGAGCTGGGCACAGAGGGCCTTCTAACCCTGCCTCCCCCTCCGAGGAAGCCGAACTGAGCTGCCCCCTGCCACAGCTGCTGAAGCCAGGCTCTCCGCAGGTGCTGTGTCCTTCACAGTCATCTTATGTGGGGAAACGGAGGCTCAGAGAGGCTGTGTAATTTGTCCATACCCTCACGGCTGGTGAGTGCTGGAGCTGGGACTTAGCCCAGGTCTGGCTGCTCCCAAAGCCTCCATTCCCACCCGCTGTACCACCCTGCCCCACCGTTCCACGTGCCGTAGCGTGAATCGAGCACAAAGCCGGAAGCCGAGTCAGTGTGCCTAGTGAGGGAATCCTTCAGGACAGAGGTTGGAAGGCCAGGCAGGGATTCTCAAGAATCCAGAAACATCTAGCTGTATAGCCTAGAGGAAGCCTGGGGGATCACCTGGGCCCCGCACTCGGTGGCCCCCGGGAGCCACCCCTCCAACGTCCCACAACTGCCGGGCCACAAACACATCTCTCTGGGCCTACAGATTTCACCATGACCAACCTCATCATCTTCTTCGCCTTCGTCCTGCTGCTCTGTGGAGCCCTGGCCTACTGCCTGGTCCTCCAGCTGTACGTGCGACGCCAGAGGAAGCTGCCTACCGTCCTGGTGAGTCTCCAGGAGGGGCCACCATCCCATCCTCCTTAGCCGCACCAGGGCTCCAGGAGGCAGCGGGCTCCCCCCAGACGGTCCGTTCCCTCAGCCCTGACGTTATCAGCAGGCACCTTCCTCAGGGACCACGGGGACAGAGGCAGGGCTTACAAGCAGAGCCCGGTGCTGAGAACATTATCTTCTAATAGCCCCGATAAGATACGTACTGAGTAGTCCCAACCCCCAAGGTGTTTTTGTTACTATTTACTATTAGTACCTCTGAGGCAGGTATTCTCCTCATTTTATCTTCCCCTGTGGGGAGGCATAGAGTGACTGTTCCACGCACAGGGGTCACAGGGCCAGGAAGAGTCAGGCCGAAGCCCAGTCTTTGCCCCCACCTACCGGCTGGTGATGACGAGTGTCCGGAAGAGGAAGAACTCAGGCCTAGAAGCACCCACCTAGTGCTGCCAGCAGAGTGGCAGAGAGCAGAGCGGGTGGTAATGCCGAGGAGGTCATGGCCAGGGTCTCTGACCCCCTTCCAGAGCGTCTCGTCTTGCTACAGTGCCAGCAACAGCTGCACCTGTGCTAGGAAGCCAGCATTTCCAAACTGTCCCGCCTGTCCCGCCTGGGATTCAGGCTTCTCCAGAGCTTGCGGCCACATCCCCCCGGCCGCCATCACTGTGATAGCCGTGGGCTGTGCTGGGGAGGACCGGCCCCATCAGGGAGCCAGGGGCCCTAGGAAAGGCCACCACTGGAAGGGTATCCCCCCACTCAGAGGGATCCCGGGATTTCTGGGAAAAAGAAGAAGAGAGACACAGGTCCTCTGGAATTATTTTGAGTAAGAACTCCAGGAAGTGGGGAGGCAGGGAGAGAAGCGACTGCCTGCCCTACTTAGAGCCTTGTCCAGGAAGCAGAGGACGGTGTTCCTGTGCCCTGGGTACCTTAGGAGACTAAAAAGTTCTCCCTTGTGTCTAACTGAAGTATGTAAGTCACGGTTCCTTCTCTGTACTCTGGGGAGATTCAGTTCTATAAACGTGTATACACTGGCCTGTTTAACAAGTACTTGGAGCATATCCGATACGCAGGGCCTGGGGCTGGGATGGGGGAGGTTTAGAGGTGAGTGCCTCCTGGCGGCTGCCCTTCGGGCTGGATAACCGGAAAGCAGAGGGGTGGGGGAGGAGTGGTCCTGGTAACTGCAGCGGGGATTCCTAGCTGGGCATCAGGATGAGCGTCCAGGAAGAGATGAACAAACCGGCAGTGGCCCCTGGTCCCAAGGGGCTTGATCACAGCCTGTTGGGACAGCTGACGTATATGTATTCTTTTAACTCTAATGCGACCCAGTGAAATCGACACAGATCCAAAATGCCAAAGGAGAGGACAAGCAACCTCTGGGGTTTTGCTCCTCTGTGACATCTGGATCACAGAATTGAGCTCTCCTTGAGAATTTTTGCCTCCTCAAGATAAAGGCAACCCAGTTCCCTTCATCAAATGATCGTGGCCATTACGAACTCTACCAATAACTTCTGGCACCTTCTAGCACCTTCACACTCACTCGCTTAGCCCACTCATTAGCTGTTTTGATCTGATCTTTGGACAAATGGGGATTTCAAATCAGGCCAGCAGAGTACAAATCCCAGGTTTGTTCTTTGCTGCTGTGACTTTGGGCGTGTCATTTAACTTCTCTGAGGTTCCATTTCCTCCTCTAGGAAATGGAGAAACAACACTTCCTTAGAGATGGGAGCATAAAATTCGATTCACCAAACATTCACCGAGTGCCTTCTATGTACCAGGCACAGTTCAAAGCGTTCTCCGTGCATTAACTGCAACATGACCACACAGGTACTGTCCTTATTGCCATTTTACAGGCAAGACACGAAGGCACAGAGAGGACAAATAATTGAGCCAAGGTGACACGGCTGGCAAAGGCAGAGCTGGGATTTGGGCCATGGAGTCTGGTTCTAGAAACAGCTGTCCTTAATCGCCAACCTACAGGATAGCAATAGGAACTCAACCAGTAAGAGTTGCGCTGGAGTCAAAACTTACAAAGGGAATTAGGGCAGATATGCAACAGTGAGTCCGTCAGTCAGTCAGCAAACCTTATGAGTGCCCAGTATGTGCCAGCTCAGCTTAAGCGCCAGGAACATTGTGGCAAACAAAACTAGGCAGGTCCTGCCCTCAAGGTGTTTGTATTCTGCTGGGTGTGGGTAGTGTGTATCGTGGGTCTTGGTAGGGGGCGGAAAATAAACTAAAAAATAATTCCAGGAACCAAGTACTAGAAAGAAGTAAACTAGGTTAATGCTGGGGCGCCTGGGTGGCTCAGTCGGTCAAGAGTCTGACTCTTGGTTTCGACTCAGGTCATGATCTCACATTTCATGAGTTCGAACCCTGCATCAGGCTCCATACTATCAGTGTAGAGCTTGCTAGGGATTCTCTCTCTCCCTCTCTCTCTCTCTCTGCCCCTCCCCCTCTCACTCTCAAAATGAATAAACTTAAAATTTTTTTAAAAACTAGGTTAATGCAGAGACTGTGTGGAGCACTGCTCTAGCCAAGATGATCGGGAAGGCCTCTCTGGGGAGAGCTGAGCTGAGCTGAGACCTGAGTGTTAAGGAGGACACAGCCATAGAAAGCGCTGAGAGAAGAGTGTTCCGACCACAGGGCATAGCATGTGCAAAGGCCCTGAGAGCACTGAGCTGATGCGTTCCAGGGCAGAAAGAACCCCAGTGTGACCAAGACAGAACAGCAAGGGGGAGAGGGGTTAAGTGACAGTTATTTAAACGTGAGTTACAGACTTACGGGCTATTTGTAGGTGGGTTACTATGTAACACATTCCCTATTTCGGGCCATCCTCAAAAAAAAGCTTGGCACTCACTTCTAGATGTATCTAAAGGAATCCAGCCTGCTCTCAGGTGTGGAAAGCAGTGCCCAGGGAGCCGAGAACATTCTCCGCTCCCTGCAGGCTCCCATCCCGCCTGCCTTTTCCATCCGGGCTGTGAGCACACAGGCCTGAGCCAAACTGAGAATTGCATTAAGAGGAAAGGTCGGTTCTGAAATGACAACAAAAAGCACAGGGGCCCCTCGGTTAGAGCGGAGCCTCCCTGGGCTCACCTCCCGGACCTGGGGCCTCACCTGCAACACTGGAGTGGGTTGCTGCAGGTGACCCTTGTTTTTCTCACTCTGCCCTCTCCCCTCCAGGTCTTCGGGAAGCCCCATCCGTTCAACTTGGTCCTCCAGATCCCCTGCCCAGAGCCCCAGGACACCATCCATCCCCTTGACGAGGGGGCCTTCCCCAAAGTGTCCCCGGAGCTGAAGAACTCGGAACTGCACGGCAGCACAGACAGCGGCTTTGGCAGTGCGAAGTCATCCCTGCAGAATGAGGGGTCCCAGTTCCTCCTGCCGGTCCCCCACCCCCAGGCGGCGGGGACTGTGGGAAAGGGGGCGCCCCGGGAGCCGGAGAGCAGCCGCAGCGGGGGCAGCAGCAACAGCACAGACAGCGGGATCTGCTTGCAGGAGCCCAGCCCGAGTCCTGGCACCGGACCCCACTGGGAGCAGCGGGTGAGGAAGAGCAGCCAGGGCCAGGACGACAGCGGCCTCGGTCTAGCCCAAAACTCAGAAGGGCAGCCTGGGGATGTGCAGGGGGTCTCAGACTTGGGCCGTGTCAATGCCCCAGGGCCTGAGGTGCCTGGGGAGGAAGACCCAGCCTCAGTGGCATTCCGGGGCTACCTAAAGCAGACCAGGTGCACACAGGAGAGAGCAACCACGGCAGGCTGCCTGGAGGAAGAGCCCGCCTCGACAGATGGCCTCGGCCCCAAGTTCAGGGCATGCCTGGATGCCGAGGCAGGCTGGCCCCCGCTGGCCCTGGCCAAGGGCTATTTGAAACAGGACCCAGGAACAACTCACCCTGCATCAGGGACCCCAACCGGACAGTGGAGTCGGCCAACTGAGGAGTGGTCACTTCTGGGTTTGACCAGCTCCAGGGACCTAGGAGCATCTGACTGCAACTTGGCCCATGACCTGGCCCCTCTGGACTGTATGGCAGCCCCAGGTGGTCTCCTGGACCGCTTTGACTCAAACCTGGTCACTCTGCCTCTGATCTCCAGCCTGCACTCGAATGAGTGACTCAGGCTAAGGGGCTGCTTTTGATGTCAGCCATGCCCTTCCTGGACCAGGAGGAGGGGCCGCAGGGGTCAGAAGTGACTCATGAGGCCAGTGTGAGCACTCTTCTGCAAGTTCCGGAGGTCCAGCCCTCGCCAGGCCCAGCAGGGCTGCCTGAGGTGCCCAGGGCAGAAAGAGGCTATCTTGTTATACTATTGCAGGGTATCCAGATGGCACTGGCCGGTTATGCAGACAGGGCCCCAGAGACTCTGGCAGGACCAGGAAGGGCAGGGCGGAGATCTCCTCCCTTCTAGGGGCTCTTCCTATACTGTAAAAGAGTCTTTGCTCGGGGGAATCATAGGGTTTTCTGGAAATGCAGTGAGGCCAGCTATTGTGGTGAGGGCACCAAGCTGAAGTCGGTTCAGACCCAGCCCTCCGTCTCAGGCTAACCATGTGCCAGGGCCTCCAGCAGGATGCAGGGCTGGGAGGGTGGGGGCTTCAGAGCCTCCCTGCAGGGTCATTTCTAGGAGGAAACAGGAGGACCCGGAGATCAGGTGTGGTCTCTAGGATGGTCACACGGAGAATCTTCCAGACTGGCAGTCCTCCCAGGCAGGGAGCTTGTCACAGAAGATCTTCAGATGAATCTGCCCTGGTCAGCCAGTCTACCAACCACCATTATGGAGCCGCAAGGGGACGAAACCCCCGTGTCCAAGCCACTCACTACCCCTCCCTGTGGCCTCCACCATCTTGCTGACAGCACTGGAGAAGCCGTGGCTATTTGTACCGGTCACTGGTCAAAACTCAGCCCTCCAGGTTGTCTGTGGACTTGGGCACCAGCTCGCCTGCCCCAGAGGGTCCGGGTTGGGACCTGCACTTGGGTTTACTGCTAACATCCAGCTCCAGACCCAAAGGACATGTCACTGCTCTCTCAGGGTTCAGCTGTGTGCGCTGGGGCCAGCCACAGTTGGAATAAGGACTCAGTCTCCAGGGGGCCCCTCCCCGCTGGACGTTAACCAAGCTGGCCTCGGGGGCGACTCCGGCCCGGTGTGAGCCTGGGCTGGGAAGAAGCAGACCGTAGAACCCACGTCTGCAGAGAACCAGCTTCCTTCTCATGCTGAGGACTAACAGATTTAGCAAAAGTCCACGGTGTCGCGCTGAGAGAACCATCAGACCCTGGGCCCAGAAAGGGGGCGGCTGTGGGCCCTGCTTCCCCACACTCGGGGTTAAGATTCTGTCTTCAAAGCCAGTTTACAGTCTATGGGCAAGGAAGCTGGGAGGTGTGACAGGCCTGACAGCCGCCCCCGAAGAGTCACCACTCGGCCCTACATCTTTCTGTGGCATTCCAAGAATAGACACAGCAGCTCAGAGAATCCAGCCAGAACCGCCCCTGCTCCCCCACCACACTCTACCAAGAGGTTCTCAGGTATCTGATGACTCCCTCTGCACACTGAAGCTTGAGGAGTTCCTCAGGGTTCCCTCGGAAGGTTTATTTATTTATCTTGTTCCCTTATTTATTGAAGAGAGAGCACCATACCATGAAAGAATTCTGGGTATTTCAAGAACCCGGTTCTGACCCCCCTGGTTCCAGTTCTGACCCCACTGTGCGTAGCATTTCCTCATCTGTAAACTGAAGAGCCTCGGTGTCCTCATCTGCAAATCTAGAAAACCATGCCTGACGCGTTTCATTCACAGGGACGTGAGTTTCCACCGAGGGGGTGGGTATGAACGGGTCTTAAAAGAAAAGCTCTGTACGTCAGTGGTGTATGTTTTTTTATTTCAATAAATTGTCAGGACCACAGGAATCTTGTGAAACCAGTCAAATTTCTGATGACACGGTGGCTGGTGGGACTCAAGTTGTTGCTCATGGAGGTTGATAAGGAATAAAACGTGTGATGTCACTTTAGCAGGGATGAAGACTTAGGCTCAAATGGGACACAGGTCTGAGCCCTCGTGCTAACATGACGAAATGGGTATGTAATGTAATGAAAGAGATCATGACACTGTAAGTCAAAGAAACATTCCTTTGGAAAGCTGAAAAGGAAATGTAGAAGACAAAGGTTTTTTGTTTGTTTTTGTTTTTTTGAGAGAGCATGGGGGTGGGGGCAGGGGCAGAGAGAGGGGTCAGGGGATCCATAGCAGAGAGCCGGACGCGAGGGCTCGAACTCAAAAACCATGAGATCATGACCTGAGCTGAAGTCAGACGCTCAACCGACTGAGCCACCCTGGTGCCCCCAAGACAATGTTTTGAGTGTGGATTCTGACCGCTTTGAAAAGAGAGCAGACCTTCCTGGAGCCCTGCCACCTGACCCCCTCGACCTGGAGGTGTGACCCACGGGTGCTTCTCATAAGTGCGGAAGCCATCTGCATTTGATTCTGAAAGCAACCTTCTCTTTCTACGAAAAGCCACACGTGGGTTTGAATCTCTCCCCAGGCTCAGCCCGGCAGATGTAGCAAACTCAGGGTCGGGGCCAGGGTCTCTGGTGCACTTTGCCCTTTGTCACAGCCTGGATCCTCGAGGAGGTGAATGGGGACACCTCATCTCCTTTCCCCTGGGTTATCTCCAATGACGCTTCTCCCCATTCCACTCTGAGAAAAGCAGCCGTTCTGGGGAAGTGCTGATCCTATCGTCTTCAGAGAACTTGACTAATACCATGCCATTTGGGACCTGCTCAGACTTCTGCCCCGGAGGCCTCCCTGTCCTATTCCTAAGAAGTGTGGATTTGGCCACTTACTCCTGGAAACGAATGCTGCAGATGGCTTCAGCCCCAAGGAAAAGGCCCCCGAGGCAGGCTGGGTGGAGAGCAGCAGAGAGGTGAATACACAGATTGAGAGAGTAAGAGGAACCAGCAACCGCGTACAGTTCGGCTGGGAGAGACCAAACCCAGAGCAGCTTGAAGAACGGAGTCCCAGGATGTGGGCTCGCCTGCTTCCCTTGTGACGCATGAGTGGGAGCTTGTGCTGGGTCCCCTCTGCTTTGAAGCCCCTCTCTGCCTGCCCAGCCCAGATAGCCAGGGCTCGTGGGGCAAACAGTGATCTTCCAACAGTCGGTGCCGAGGTGCTCACAGGCTTCTCGGCCATTTGGATTCAAGTCCCCATCAGAAGGCCACATTTGTTCTTAAACTGAGTAATGTCCCTCAAGGGCTTTTCCAGGCTGAGGAATGTGTGATTCTGCGTTTCTATGAGCTAACGGGACTTCCTCTTACCCAGGAGACTGGGGGGGG